GAATTGTGGGATTTAATTTTCGGTCCCAATAGGCTTAATTTAAACCTTCCAATGCAATAAATGATATTAACAAAATATTAAACACTTTTTTGTTTATCATTTTAGTGGAATACTTGTACTTTTTGTTTTTTAATGCCAAAAAATTTGAGTCTCAGTTAGGTTTTTTTGATGGACCTGTAATTAACACCTTTGATTATATTCACTTTACATATGTAGTAGCTTCAAAGATTGTTCGTGCACTTGTCGCTTGTTATCTTTTGGATAGTGTTACTCATTTCTTGGTAGATAGTTAGTTACGTTTATTAATATAATTAGCTCTTATAATAAGAATTGAGAATATATTTTCCTGAGTTATTTTATAACGATCTACTGACATTTAATCTTTGACATACTCTGGCTGACCTATTTCTAGCCCTTATCTGTCTTGTATTTATTATTAGGTAAACCATTGAGCTTTTTGAAGTAACTCTTTTTTAATTATTATATTTTCTTTTGATGTTTTATTATATTTGGATAATATTGCATTATTATATAAAATAATAAAAATTTTATAATTTTCTTCTTTTAATTTGTTCCATAATGTTTTTAATTCATTTAGTGTTTGTTTAAGTTGAATTATTTCAAATATTAATATTGTTATATTATCATTTTTGCATTGCTAATACTTGTTTATTTGTTAATGATTTTTGATGTGGAGCTTTTGCTTTGGAAAATAGGCTTGCGATCCACATCTCACTTTGATTTCTCTCTTCTCTTGGTTTGAAGAGGGCCTTATGAGTGAAGACAAAAATAATATATTATTTTTGGTGGAGATAAGCAAAAACTTGGTTGTTTTGCTTTCAGGTAGAGAGAGAACTCGGACCTCTCAGTTTCTCTTTTCACTTTATGTTTTTATCATGCGTTTTTGTTTTTAAAATGTAATTATTTATTAAACATTGAATGCTTTTGTTTTTTCTTTATTTGTGATATGCAGATACCTATAAACAGTATTCGTAAAAGAAACAGCAAGAGTTATTTTATTTATTTATTTTATTGTTGTAAGAATATGACAATAAGTGAAATAATATTTATTTGGTTTATTGTTTATCACACTGTTATAAAAATAAATTATTTATCCTCACATTGAATCCATTGACAATTACATTTTTATACTAAAATAAGTTTTTTTGAATTAAATTAAAAGTTTCGCAAAAAAAAAAACGTTTGTCGATTATGTTGCCGCAATTCTATTAATTTGAACACTGTGTAGTATATGTGTATACATTGTAGGTATAGGTATGACTATGTATTTTATATTGAAAGTCTTTCAATAATATACCAAAAACCAATAATATTAACTGAAAGGCTTATACAGATATTCTCGTTTATTATACAGAAATTCAAGTTGATAATAAAACTTAATTAAATATTGTCTTTATCGGACTAGAGATCACATGGTAAAATTAAAAGTTCAATAAGGTCGAAATACAATAATTGTTAATGAAATCTAATTTTAGTAAATAACTGAATATATGAGAGTTGCTTAGTCTATTAAAATAATTGTAAAAGTGAAAGGCTCATTTTAAACCTACAATTAAATAGGCAAAATGTTCCTTAGTATTTTTACCCAAAAATAATAATTTAATAAACCAAAATCGTAAAATGTAAAATGTGCAAATGTTTTTCAAATTAAATTTTTAAAATATACTTTCTGATGGACAGAGTTGTCATTATAAGGAAACTACATATGAAAGCTCATTGTGTAGTCGTTGTTACTTGGCTAAATTTTTTTTTGAAAAAACTTGCAATATTTCAGATTTTTCTTTTGTGCGCGAGGTTGTTAGGCGCAAACTCTTATAATTACTAAGCCATGCATGTGTATTTGTGTTTCTTGCGTCTGTGTTTGATTTTGAATGTACGTACACAAAGTGGGTGGGTGCTTAATATTGTTCTGACAGTAGTGTTGGTGCCACACATTGGTAGTTGCATTAAGTGAGGGTTGTTATAAATGCTAAAAAAACTTAAATTTCCTTTAAAACTGATGCCTTAATGTGCTTGTTTCACCCTTGCATCTTACCAATAGATTAAGCAATCATCACTACATAAACATATATATGCGAAGGTTTGTGTATGTATATGTAAGTAAGTTACTTAGGGGTTGCTTAGAACTACGTCAGCATTCAATTGCCCACCCATTGCACTACTATACCATGAACTTTCTTTAAAGGTAGATCCCGAATTTCTTTTCTGTATCAATACATTACTGAAAAACCCTTTATTTATAAAAGATTATTTAAAAAATATATAAAATCTAGAAATTTATAAAAACTTAAATAGAAACTTTAAAAGACAATGAAAGTAAACGTTTTTGTTGATAAAATCAAATTGAAAGTTTGATTTCGATGTATTTTATTTAATTTGCTAGTCTTTGACCAAATATGAATGCATTTGTAGTAGGTGGTAATTAAGTTAATAATTTAGGCACTGTTTTCCAAACATTATAAGTTTACTTGACTCAGCTGCATTTGTATAAAATATGAGAAATAAAACACTAGTCCTACTGCTCCTCTTTATTTTACATCATCAATGTTAAATTTTTGAATAAGTTAACATTTACCCTTGATTCAATTTCTTAAGCAATTTAGCATTCCATATCTTATGATGTGGGACATATATTATTCGATTGTGTTCTAGATTCGGTGAACTCGTGTATGTCGAGTATTTATTATACAATCTCTTCGTATATTAATATGAATTTTTTGTTTAAGAGAGATGGAAATATTTTTGTAAAACTTTCAGGAAAGTTTGAAAAGCATTGGAAAGATTCGATCTTTTTGTTTGCACCATATAACACCGTATGTCATTGTTATGGTTTCAGGATTTCATCTTAAAGTATATTGGAATTTTAGAATTATACGATTTATAAATTTTTATAAGTACTTTAAGTACTTTAAGGCTATATGCACTTGTTAACTGCAAGCCACTGTATTTATTTTTATTTATGTATTATATTTATATAAATTATTTTACAAGAAATTGCCTTTTTTTTGTTTTTTTTTGTGGTTTTTTTAAATGTTTAATTTAGTTAAAAATTTTTCTATTTGCTCATATAAGTTAACTACGGCTATATAAATAATTTTTTGTTTTGAAAAGTGTATTTTTAGAAATAAAGTTTTTTCTAAATTGATTAATTTGACATAATTTGAGTTTTCAATAAATACCGTTGTAGTCTAATTGTAAAGATTACAAATTTTGATTTTCATTTTAATAATATTTTTTAGAATTGAAATTAAACAGCTGATCTTGTTTTAAAAAATTGATGTTATAGTTTTTACGGAGTTATTGGGAAAATCCTCTTTATAGTTCACGTAATGTTATAGACACTTTTTAGGTTCATTAAAAGTTTAATGATGGGTAAAAGAACTGAGGTTAAGATGTTTTAAAAAGTAATGGAAAATGAAAATTATTGATTCACCTATCAAATATATGGTACATGTGATTCAAATACAGTACTCACTCGAAAACAAGAATTAATTAATTCCAACATCTTTTTCACATTTTAGATATATATTCACTTTTTTAAGTACAGAAATAAGTGTATATGTATCCAGCTTTCATCTAAACTAAACATAGCCTCCAATACTACAATGATTTATTAAAATTATTCAAGGAAATTTGTTACTCTGGTGGATTATCTTTCCGTTTTGTTTTAATTTTAATTAAATGTATACTGGTAAAATTCCTTTCTTTTTATACCTGCAGTAAAATCTTAGTTGAAGTTTTATACTTTTTTGTGATTACTTGCATTCTAAGCGTTTCTTTAAATCTTAAAGTATATATGAAATCCATTAAACATTTGAACAAAAAGAAAACTTATATTCACATTTATTTACTTTGCAGTCGTCTATGTTATAATATACTTTAATTGTTGATTGCTTCTTATTAGTATTTGATTTTGAGCAGCTTTTCTATTTCTTTTAATTTATTTCATTTATTTCATGTTAAATAAATTAGTCCTGTTTCTACTCTATCATCCCCTACTATTATTTTGTGGTTGGATATTGTATCTATTGTATATTGTATTGTATTCTATAGATGCAATATTTATCTTGATCATTATCTTTACTGATTTTTTATCTCCTTTTTCGAAACTATAAACCATTTGTGTAATTTTGTATGTATTATAAAACTCTTTTACACTTTTCTACTTTTTTCAATCACATTTTTTAAATAAATATTTCTTTTAGTTACCAATTCTTTAAAGCTTTTAAAAGCTTTTTATAATTTTTGATATTTATAATAATTACTTTTTATTCTTACTTATTATGCCTAAATTTACAGGGCAATTCTGGCAGCTATCTTTCAGCTTACCACAGTCAAAAATATTTTGAAAGATGTTTTGTATTCTAGCAGCCGTCTGAAAAGCTCTTTTCTGTCTTTCGAAAGTCGAAATGAAAGATGTGCTACTAAGCTCAGCTTTCGTATATCAGCTTAAATTTTGTTTGTTTTTCATATATAAAATTTTTTTATATAAAATATAATACATAAAATTTAAAATTTATATATATTTAAGTTTTAATATTTATTGAACATTTATTTATTTATATATATGACAATTTATATTGCAACCCTTGAAATATATGTGTAATTAAATAATTTATATATTGTTGATATTTCAAGTTATTAAAACGTGTTTGAATCTTTGCTTTTATCTCTAGATCTTTAGCCATTCAAGCGAAATTTAATATATCGGTTAAATTTCGCTTACCATATATTCCTATAAAATTAATAAAAATGTGTTATTACATTTTGAAATAAAAATATCACATTTGCTACAAAAAGTATTTTTAAAAATTTATGTATTATTCCATTAAATAAATAATATTTATTTTATTTCAGGCAAACAAAATTGGGTTACCTCCTTTTTTTTGTCACAACGGAGATCCTCTAACAACGCCTCCTCCTGCGCATTGTGGCATACCTCCTTATCAACTGGATCCAAAAGCTATGGGTATGATTTACAAATATAAGATTATAGATTTATGAAAAAAAAATATATATATAGATATGTTTCTTAAGAAATGAAAAAGTTGTATATAAAGGAAAGTTCTGTTCTTAATATGAACTAATATGCTAGGTATCAAAAAAAAGTTGGCCTGAACACAAAACCAAAAGATGTTCTCATCGAATTTTTTGTTTGTTTTTTCTTGTTAGGTAAAACCTTGTTTGTATTTAAGCCGTATAAGAACTTATTGATTAGTTGAAGAACTCTCATTTTAAGGATTTATCAGAATATCTTTCAAAAGACTTTTAAACCTTAATTTTTTTATACACAAAGTTTGTTCTACGAGAAACGGGTTTTAAATTAATTCTAAAAACCTTAGGTTTTGATGAAAACCTCATTTATTTAAAAATCCGAGGGACGCGACCTCATGACGAATTTTTAGAAAATTTTAATACACTAAGCGTTTTTTTTCATTACTCTATGTGTCAATAGAGTGAGCTAATCCATTTTCTAGTTATCGACCTTTCAAGTTGCAATTGGTGTAGAAAGATCATATACCTATTTATCAAATATGGGTAACAATAATGGAAAATGTCACCTAAGTACATATTCTAAATGTACTTCATATGCATGCCATCCAAGAATTTTTTTGAAATTTCTTAAATAGATTAAAAATTTTATTAATTTGATTTATTTTTTTATTTCATCCAAATATTTCGAGTAGTTTTATCAGAATTTGTTCGCAAAATGCTTCAAAAATTCTCTAAAAAATAATTTTCCTGAATTTTAAATTGGATTATCACAGAGTGGATCAGTTAGATGTATATTTTGCCCATCTTTAACCAAAATACTTAATAAAAATATGGATATTATTTTATTACTTGTCAGAAAGCTTTTCCTCAGTAACCATAACCCGTGTATACGAAAAGCAAAGAATATTTTACTTTACTAGAAAGTAAACATAAATTATTCAAGATTCAATTGAACATGATTTCATTATGGCGTAAGATTTCTTTTGTATGCGTTTCATATGGTTTGGTCCATATCGATTTTAGTTTTCGAGATATTTTGTCTATTTTTACAAATGCATTGTTTCACTTTACGAGTTTGAGGACTGACACTAGATCATGGGTAAACAAAATAAGTGAATAACTATAGTTGACTAGTTGGTTAGTCCTGTTAATTTTATTTAAAACAGATATGCATAATGTAAACACAATTTAATGACAAAAATTATATTCTATAACTTTCTATAATCTAAGTTCTATTAAATAATTTTGAAAACAAACGGAATGTTACCGATATTTTTTATCTTATAGAATTGCTGAATTAAGTTTGCTACTTTATATTCAATATTCGAGCAGCAAAATGACACAATAAGGGTAAGATAAGAAGCAAGAATAGAGAGTAAAAAAGTAAACTTGAACATTTGTATTCTGTTTTGCATATTTTTATTTTTTAACTTATTTGGGAGCGCTTGTACCATGTCTTTAAAAATTGAACTAATCAGACAGAAAAAAAATTCAAATCAAATTAAAAAAAAATAAAAATATCTCTCAGATAAATTTATAGAGAAATTTTTATAATATATTTTCCTCTTAAAGTGCATTACTATAATTTGTTGTGATGTTAATATCTATGTATATTTAATAAATATACATATAATATATAAATATTATTTATAAAAAATGTAAGAGTAAACAATTGCAAAATCTTATAAAGCAGTTATTAAAATCTGAAGATATGATCTCATGAACATGACAACTTCTTTTGGTGATGAGCATCAAATTTTGATGATATTTGAAGAATATAAAAATTAATATTTGTCTCTAATTTTAAGTATATCTTTTGACAATGTGGTTGTTAAAGTCTTCACATATGATGCTGTTAACTTACATTCTGTTGACACATCTATTTCGAGCATGTAATAGATTTGTATTCTGACGTAGACTACATCCTGGCATATAACAGGCTTCTTGATTTCCATTAATATATTAAGTGGCTGCATTATTAAAGCATATAATATCGCGTCACTTTATCATCACCTTGTAAGCCTTATAAACACAACTTATAAAATTTTAAATATTCGTCGTGTTTGAGCTAGTATAAAAAGTTTTATGAACTTTAAATTTTTTTAGCATAAGTTTAGATACAGTTGTGAAAGCTGATAGATATGATATTCTTAGAATATATAATCTTAAAGACTTTATATCTATTCCACCACGTCCTTCACGACTTTCCATGTAAGGGAAAGGCTGTTCTAAGTAAGCTTCTAAACAAAAACTGTTAGCTAAGGAGATCAATTTTGAAGTTTTATGGAGCTATAGTGCGTCAAATAAAAGTCTATACAACAATAAAAGTCTATATTTCAAATAAAGAAATTTTTATTCCATTAAATCTTGTCAACTAAATAGGTGGTTCGGCAATTATATTGGTTTAAGCTTCTATTAGAAAATTTCCGATCATTGTTGCGGAAAACAATATCTAGATCCTTTGAAAATATCTAGATCCTTCGAATATAAAAATTACACCAACTTTTATTTATCATGTTTAATGTTAAATAAATAGTGTTTCGTTTTTAAGTTTCTTGAATTTCGGAGGTGACTATAATTCACAAAAAGATTTAATAATGCTGAAATACAGAATGTTAAAATGTTCTCTTTGTAATTAATTCATTTTAAAACAGAAGACCGTCAAAAATTAGTTTCGCAAATATAGTACAAATAATGAAACACATTGTTAGATCCGTTCATTCTATATTATTTTTTTAGATATAATACAAGATTTTTTTTAGATATAATAAAATATATATTCGATTAAGAAAGGTTAATTAAAGTTAAATAAATAAATAATAAAATGACGTAAAAATAAAAATTGAAAACATAAATTAGAGAAACCACGATAAATTTAAAAAAACAGATTTAACTAAAACTAAACACAATAAAGTTGAAAACAAGCTCAAAAAAAAACAAAGAAAAAACAGCACAATGTATATGTAAGTATATAATCTAGGAGGTTTTAGGCAAATTGAAAAAGATATTGTTTCATATTTCTTAATTATTTTCCATTATTGTCGAAAGAGGTTGTTGTCATGTTCCAAGGAAAACATTTGTTACTAAAATTTGCAAGTGTCATAACACTCATTTTCAGAGAAGTCCGGCGTTCTGGAACTGGTAAGGATATAGTTGTATCGCTTACTAAAGAATTGATAACAGCATATATGTCTGAGAAGATTACAATATTAACATTAGGGATTTTGGTGCAAAGCATTCATTTCGCTGCTTAGTGAATCACTTAGTGAAACTACTACCTGAAAAACACTTTAATGTTCGATAGTCGAAGTGAGATCCTAAGACCATTATAGTAAACATTGCGCTGTGGAGTACCACAATAAACTATTCTTCGAGATTGAATACTTCTAATACCGAAGGTGATAATCTTGGTTTCGAGTACTGCCTCAACAAATTTTATCAAACTTATATCTAAGCTTAGATATCAGTAAAGCCAAGAAAAGTGGCACGTTATAACATATCCACTGAAGGCGATGCATTTGTTTGTTAATTTGTGAAATAAGTATATGGAGTGTTGTTTAGACAGGCTTTCCTGTCTAAACTGCAAAAAGTGTTGAATTAAAAGTGAAGGATTTACGAGTCTGAATGCTGTCCGACGGCCTTATGGAAGGAGTCGATAATTTTGAGTAGTCTCAGTAGAGGTTCTATATTGTCACAGAAGTCGCTACAAGATTATTTTTTTAGCCCACCTTAGTATATTTGAATTTGTTTTGCTTTTCTTGATATGACGCCCAGTATCTTGTACTTTTAGCTCAATTAAATACTTTTTTGCAAGTTTTATAGTCTGCAATTGTTAAGTTCCACCATGAATATACTCGAATATATTCCGAAGTTCGAAAGGTTCGCAGGCCGCGTTCATAACAGACTTGTGTTATGGACCAGTTAGACAATTTCCCTTATGCTTTAGCAATTACCAAGTTACATGCAAGAATAAAACCAAACAGAGACTCACCTTGCTCATTGGTATCGTTTCTTTCCCACATTTCTTGATGTGCATTGGCATCAGCACCGATGATGGAATGAATCTTTTTGTTGTTTGCCTCTGTTATCAGAAGTGTGATAGAATCTTGTGGTAGTGAGTCATCATAATCGTTCGCCATATATGTCAAAACCAACTAAAGAGCATTGGAGTTGTACTAGATAACCATGGGCCATGGTTGTCGTTGCCACTGAACCCAAGAAGAATTTTTTAGTTAGTAAATCTGAAATACAAAAACTAGACAAAACTATTTCTGATATATGCCTGAAAATATTTATTTATTTCCGAAAATTATTCAAAATAAACTAGTTTATGCGATTTCAAACAAATTGTTTTATGCAATCCAAACTATTGTTGGTTTTAATCCACTCATTAAATTAATTTTTGTTTTGAATATATTTTTACTAAAGAAAAAATCTATAAGGAAACGAACATCTTATTTCATTTATTTATGCATCGTATGATTAGTATGAATATAGAAATTCTGTGTATATTTTTTTTAATGTTTAAAAATAAATTTTTTGAATTCATGTCGTTTTTCCTTTGAATATTTCAAAGAACAAAACATTGTTCTGTCACGTGTCATTTGAACATATCCAAGGGCAAAATGTTACAAATTTACAACCTTTGCTCATTACGTTTTTCATATACCATAAACCAACCACTAAAATAATAAATTGTTTTTAAATTTTTGTCTCCCTTGTTGAAAGATATGTATTTTATGCACAATTAATGCATAATTTGTATGCATGAAAATAAGTTCACTTTGCTTATTAGAGGCTCAGATCAGATTATTTTCATTCAAGCTGTTTTAGTATTTTAATAACTAATGCTTAGAGTGAAACTCTAATATAAAAACTTTACCCGTTCTATATTTTTTCCCAAGTAAACGCATAAACTTTATGTATAACTTTTCTTAATACTAATAATTTAGTCTCAATAAAATCAAAGCTAACTTTTTTTTTTACTACATTTTACACATTTTGAACTAAAGCTGATTGTAATGAGTTGAATATACACCCCCTGTATTGATTATTCCCCTAAATATACATGCCACAATAAGACTGATTTTATATTAATATCAATAATATTTAAATTTTCTTATATTTTCATTACATCAGAAAGATCTATATGAATATGACGAACCTTAACACACCATTACTTACTGAGATCACTTACCATTATTTATTACCCACAGGTATTTGTTCATTTAACCACAGTACGGTTTAAACGATTTTTTTTATTACAATATGATTTTGAAAATTATTAGAAAAATATTTTTTTCGAGAGGGAAGAGAGATTTATGGAAAGACGTCTAGGACAATAATGTTTATCTATTTATTCCTAGACAATCTTTTATACTAAAATTCTTCCAATGACTCATTACCTTTTCCTTTGAGGCAGATGTAATTATAAATAAATATAAAAAAAAAATTTATTCATAGACAGGAAATTAGTTTGTCTTAAACCAATTCGTCTCTTTAAGACCTCTATTTATAAGGTTTTACCCGTTATTTCCAGAGACCTGGATGTGTAGAAGGAAAAAGGGTTATAGAATCGAGCATAAAAGTCTCAAATAAAAACTGTTTAAAAATTGAAAAAAAAGGTTGGCTTTAAAAGCATTAAGGCATAGAAGAAGAACATTGTATTAAAAATTTTAAAACAAAAAACATGAAAAAAAACAAATTTTATAAAAAAAAAATAAAACAAATGCTTAAATACACAGTTTTGCATATTTAAATACTGATGGTAAAAGCTGTCTTTAAGACGATATACTGTAATGCTTTTCCGAGACTTTCAAATGAATATTTCCGGCTATTGATGACCCGTTTATTTAAGAAGATCTATTTATATATGTCGATTATGCGAAATTTGATTCGTAATATAAATTGAATTGATCAAATTACTAGATCAATTGGAACTAGTAAGTAAAAAACTTAGACCATTAAGACAATAAAGCGATTTTTAAAAAGTGGTAATATTGAAAGAATTGAATTTCGTAAATAGCAAAAGTGCAGTTAGAAAATAATGAAAATACGTTTACCAAATTATTTTCTCCTCTTGATAGCAGACCACATGTTTCTCTGTAACATAGTATTGCTATATCAAATGTTGTAATCGTACATGAATAACACATAAAAGGAATAGTTTGAAAGATCGCTTATTAGGCCGCTCTCATGTTCACCGATCTCTAAATTGAATATATACCAACACGGATGTTAACATATTTCTGTGAACTGTTAATGTTCTTTGGCTAAAGAAAATGCATAATACAATAAGTTACCTGCACTTTTGAATTTGAGGTCGAAGTGTTTTTGTACGCCTCGCCTCGTAAATTAAAATATGGCTTCATTGAAATGTTATACTTCACAGATTTTCTTTACTAATTATTATACTATGCCTGAACATAATAAATTTATACAAAAGCAGTTAAAGAAAAGAAGTTAAAGCTTTTGCTTTAAAAGTGTTATTTTGCTATTCTTTCAGTCTTTGTAAAAAAAATCTTAATCGGGTTCCACTTTCTTGGCATTTTATACAATAATAATGAAATATTTAATAATTTTGAATTTTGAAACCGTCAAAGAAGAGGCCTAGTAGAATTATATATTTTCTAAAATTCATTTGTCAATTTTATTTCAAAATTAATTATCATAAAGTGGAAGTGTGTGATATTCCACTTGTTATTTAATTTTAAACAGCGTTTATTTGACATGAATTCAATTCCAGAGCAGGAATTGGAAATATTTGTTCAGAATTAAGATGAAAAAAGGAAACGAGTCTGCGAAATGAGATTTACAAAAAAAAAAAATGAAAAAGAACGATACTACAGCTTCTGAAATTTCAAATTTTTAGGTAAAATTGAATTTCTTGCTGTTTTTACATAGATAAGAGGGTCTTTCATAAGACCTGCCAAATAGAAGTACACGTAATTTCTTCAGATAATTATGACTAGTATTTATAGTTTCATTTTAATCCGTAAAATAATGCATTTAAATAAAGCTTATTGACAACATTGACATTGAGTAATTTATTTAATTAAAAATTTATTTAA